AATATCTACAAAAGAAAAACTGGCAACTAACATCGCCAGAATGGCTGAACTGGGCTATAAATGCAAGGGAGTATAAAGACTGTTTTATAAAGACATGGCTTTTAATATAAGTCTACATGCCTTCATCATTGTGGCTGACAAGGTGATGTGAAAACTGATTTCTCCAATTAAAAGTTAAATAGCTGAAATAAGTCTAAAAAGACTATATAAGTCTAAAAAGGTCATGTATAAAAGGCATAAAACATTAATCTCATAGTTTTCTGTGCAGCTTGTTAAACTCCAAGGACTTGTAATAGCAGAGACAAATTGAGCAACTTTCCAACCTTTCTCTGATAAAACCCATGCAGCTAGTTAATGAAACCTCAAAAGGTTACCAATTATTTTTCTAAAAAGCTCATCTTCCTCAGACTGCACTGTGAAGTTGGCTTGTGCAAATGCTTCACCCGAGTGCCCTTAGTAAAACTGCACAGTTGTAATAAATCCACAAATTTATTACCTATTTGGGCTAGGAGAGGAGGAAGACTTAAGGGGAAACAAGAAAAGGCAAGAGAAAGAGAGAACAACAGAGAGAAAGACAGTGAGAGAAAACGAGCAAGCAGATATAAGAGCATGGATGCATGCATTCAATGTAGACACACGTAAACTCTGAAGAAGAGAATAACAGTCACCATTTGTTGATCAATATGATCCAGTATCAGGCTTCAGGATATCTACTATAAGCAGCAGCAGTACAGGCAAGCGGCTGCACTTTCCACAACAGTATGCATTTCAAGCAAGAGACATTTCCAGGTGTTAAATAATTTAATACTCAAATGTTTATGTGCTTTCCCAACTCAAAGCCTAAAGTTTAACCAATATTTTGGTAAAACTGGAATTAGTGCATGTCTGAATTAACTACTGTTGCAGAGATGTGACCTTTTTTTTAATTTCTTGCTTTGAATGGTGCAAAAAAAGATGGAGAAGGTTGGTTTGGTCAAACAGATTTCACTTCAAAATAAAAAGCCAATTGGGTGGTTTATTATTTCTGTATATATTACATAGCAGAAAAAATATTCACACACAGAAGTATTCATTTGGAACTACTCAGCTTTCTGTCTTGCAAACATTAAACTTGGAACTGATTTTCCATAGTTAAGTAATATAAATATTTAATTGACAGATATCTTAAGAGAACTCTCCATCAATTTGGATATCAACATAGAAAAATTATAGAAATGTGTTGTGCTAACAGGCAGTTGTTACAAACATTATGACTAAATCTGTATTTTAAAACTGTGCTATTTTCAGAAGTTCCTGTAAATGTGCTTTCATGTAAGCAAGTCTGACAGACAAAAAATTCTTATGAATAAATTAACCAGATAGACCAATGTTTTTGATCACACAGTTTTGGAACAAAGCCTGTCAAGGTTTCCACACATTCATGCAGTAATATATATTAATGAATTATGAGCTGTTGGGAGATTTCAAAACAAAATCAAAGACAAAACCATCAAGGTGGGTCAGAAAGTTACAGAATCATAGAATTGTTTCAGCTGGAAAAAAACTTTAAGATCATCGAGTCCAACCACTGATCCAACCCTAGAAAGTCCACCACTAGACCATGTCCCTAAGCACGACATCCACTCATCTTTCAAATGCCTCCAGGGATGGTGACTCAACCACCTCACTGGGCAGCCTGGTTCCAGTGTATCTGTAACAGTTTGTGTGTGCAAAAACACTGATGGAGCATAAGGGTTCTTCTCCATGAAAGTATAATCTTTTTCACCAAAGCAAATGAGTCTGCTTCAAATAATCTCCACCTAACTGCAAAATTTGAACATGAAGATAAGCTAAATATTACTGAAATTACTGAATATCTGAAAACTGATATACGCAAAATACTACCTATAAACTTTTTATTCCATAAATTCTATTATCATCTTTTGAGGATATTGAAAGGTGAAGTGGCCCATTCAGAACATTTTTCTTTATGAGCTATCTTATTACTTTTGTGTGAGCCATTCCCAAGGGAAAAGGATATTTTTATGTTTGATTTCTTGAGTATCAAGTTAATACAGCTCTCAGTTCTGAACAGTTTATTAACCAAAAATTCCATCAAGAGTTACTCGTAGTTTTACTGTAAAAGTCAGTATTTGTAAACCTTTTTATGTCAGTTCTACCTATTATAAAATATGAAGTCATGACTGATCTCAAACAGTTTTAATAATTACTTATTAAGGGTGAAATAGTGTCCAGCCGCCACAAATACAAATGATTGGTGAATGACTTGCTAGGTCTTTGTAGGAACAAGCTTACAGATGCTGATTGCCATGAGGTTACTCATGTAGAAAGTTTAAAACTGGATTTGGTTTCCCTCTCTGTCCCACACTCTGTGCAAGCAAGATCACTCTCACTCATCACTCAATTGCCCAATTTTCCTTGACAAAAAAGTGAATAGTCCATTGGATCATGCTACTTAAAAATTCAGTTTCTGGATCTTGAAAATACTAAACAGTAATTACTCGGCCTTAAGGACTTGTATGAATAGACATAGGTTTCCATATTCATTACAATTTGTCATAGCAGCTGAAATTAAAAAAGTGTCCTCTTGAGAAGAGAGTCATATTAAAGCTTTTTCCCTTAGTTTTCCTTATTAGCATCTTGGAGTATCAAATATTCATGTAAGTACTTGATATCTTTTTTTAAATGCCAAGTAAACACTGCATTTAAGAAATTAAAATGAAGCCTTATACTTTTTCTTAGGGCTTCACATCTCCTCCAATACTGTCAAAAATGTACTCCTAGGTTCCAAAAGAATTTCCCTTCCATTTCCAAAGCATTAAAAAAATATATCTCAAAAATATTTATTTAAACGAATTTACTTTTCTAATCCAGAATCTTAAAGAGTACTCCCATATATATCAACTCTGCATGTCTGGTAGTAATGATATAAACCTGTCAGCTAGAGGGAAGCTCTGTGAAGTAATCTGTCATCACTCTTTTCCTGAAATAAACTATAGCTTTCAGGGACTTCTGGGAAGTGGATACTGACAGAAGTGATTGTGACAACAGGTTGAGTATCCTGCATTACAGCAGCAGGTGCTTTTTGTGTTTCCAGTTCCTCTGGACCCCCCCATCATGCCTGTATGAAATCCACCTTTCCATCCTCAAGCATGGAATTCACCTAAGGATTCACCTATTAGCTAACAGGTTGTACTAAAAGTAAAATTCCTTGGTGATACTCAAAGCATGCTTTGGAATTTTTAAAGAAACAAACCCAGAACTATTTTAAAGATATCTTTTCACTTAACATATTGCTTTTGTTCACAGTACCCCCCTCTTGCTCTTCCCTGGACCAGCAAGAAAGTTTGGGTTACGTCACTTCTAGAGTCATGTGTCATGTCTTTCCC